TGTCTGATATCCTTATTTTGGGCAGCAGGACTCTTGGGACCATTGTCCGAGCCATCCAAAGTTCAGAAATTAGGCTAGGCAAAGTAATTTCTTACACACCTTCTCTGCTTTACTTTGAAAGAGGATAAGAGTTGCAGCTTTATGGCGAACAAGGACCTGAAACCATCCCTCATCACACTGGACACTCATACCACAGCCCCCATATTTCAGTCCCTAATTTTGACCCAAGCCTTTCAGGGGAGGCAAAGCCCCTCATACTGCCACACCTGGTCTTCTCTTCCTAGTGATCAAATGGCCCTTTTGGCTTGATGAGCAGCTGCCTTTAAACCAGTCTCTGCCATCAGTAAGCAAAGCAGAGAGCTGTAGCTATCTTGTCCATATGCTTAACCCAAGGGATATCAGCCTTCTTCTTATCCCCAGATAGATTTCTTGGAAAGAGAGTACATTCAATATCAGTGAATTTACTGACCATTAACCCAGAATCCTCCACACCAATGGCCCACTGCAGGCTCTCTAGAAGATGGTCCACCACCTTTATAAGAGCATTCAGCATTCACAGTAGAGGGGCCTTCAATACCACGTGAACACCTTAAAAGATCCAGTTACAGCAAAATGGCATTCACAAAACAGGATTGCCCCCAGTCTTATTCTTCCCACTTACCTCCCCTGGTCTTACAACTCGTTGTCCTATGTTACCCAGACTGTTGTCTTTTCTCTGTGCCTCAGATCTCGAGCTTTCATCTTCAAAGCACTTCTCACCCAGCGATGCTCTTAGGTTTCTTAGGCCATCCCCAGTTTGAGCAACGAATGCTTCTTGCAGTTCCTCAAGAGGCTCTGCTTTTATGGAAATCACTTGTAAGTAATCAGACACCAAATCTGAAGAAGTGGGTACGTATTTGACGGTAATATGAGGGATTCTTTTCACAGGCAACTCCTCTGTCTCTGTTGGGGTCTCATTTGCAGTTGACCCTGGGATTGCCTCTTCAGAACTCCCTGTTTTGGGCTCTGCACTAACAGACACTTAGTCAGCAATTTTGTCTGGGTTCATCACAGCTTGGCTCAGTGTTGGTGGACTGTCACTAAGGGGGCATCGGAGAGTTCTTCAATTATTACAGTAGCCATGGGTACCACAGGAATACATGGGTTTAAAGTTGGTTTTGGGATCTTCATTATCATGCCAAGATCAGTAGGGAGTCATTCAATAATCTTAATACTTTCTGTTGTTGAAGATGAAGTAGGCAATGTCTCCTCCTCTGAATTGGCTTTTAAGTCAGGTTTGGCTACTTCTTTTGCTATTGAAGCTGCTATTTTATGAGCGAAAATATCTTGTCTATTTGTTAGGTCTCTGCAAACAAAAGTGTCAGAATCCTAACATTCGACAGTGCTTGTGCAAGCTGGATGGAACGGGTCTCCCAGGGCCTGGCTGTCTTCAGCGTGTAAAAATTCTCTTTCACTGGTCTGTTTGTTCATGTTCTTCTCATGTTCTGACAGGAGTACTTGCACAGCATGTCATATTTTTCTAGTTGCATCGGTCAGTAACAACATCTTTTCTGCATCCAAACCCGCAATGGGAAAGAGGGAAGAAAGTGTTGATACAAGATTTGCTGTTAGTTTTTATATGATAAGAGGAACTATTTTACTAAGTTCTTGTGATAAACTGTTTGGGTTATCCGAAGGCTCAGTAACATCTCTTAGTGTATTTTCAACAATATTGTCAGGTTCAGCAAGGTCATGAAGTGGTAGTTCTCCAGAAAGAGAGTTCTGCAATGTATTCCCAGTTATCTCTTGGAAGACCAAATCACAGACTGCTTCAGAAAGAATCATGCACCCATTTCTTAAACACTTCTGCATGCTGAATTTAGACTGAAACTGTATCAAAAGCTTGGTATAGACCAAATCAGCAATTGTTTGAATCCGAGCATCCTCCCTGGAATGTGGATGTTCAATATGCTGGCAGGAGGAGTTCTCATCTTCAGAGATTTTTGCTATAACTTTACTGATGACCGTCATGTGAATCAAGCCACATTCTGCCAGTTGCATTTTCTTTTCTGTAGAGGAAGATGTGCTGGCAGTGGCAGGGAGAATGTTAGATAAAAGCCTGCTGATTAGATCTTCCAAAAATCTGTGGCATACCCCCATAGTAGATGGTGTGGGACTTTGGCATCGGGCATTGCTTTTGGTAGCATCTTCTAAAAGCTTCTCATCCATTACCCCAGGTTTTAGAGGTCTATACAGAGCTGAAGATGCTTTTGCTAAGGCTTCTTCCTGCTGGTAACCAGTTATTTCTCTCTTTATCAAAACACTCTGGTTGCTTTTCATGTCTGCATAGACCGAGACTTTGGAAGCACTTTCTTGCAGAAGGTCAGATAAACTGGAGTGAATAATTTTGGCTGTCAATGTGTCTATGTCAGGGGAGAGATCCTGATCTTTAGAAAGCTGCAGGTCTGTGGCCTGGCATATGGAAAGCTTATCCAACACTAAATCAACTATATCTGTGCTGATACGTGAATAATTACTTCCGAGGAGTGCACTGTCCTGAGCAACCATTTTGCTCCTTAGTTCATCGTGTATTTCTTTCAAACAGCATCCATTCCAGGAAATGTCTTTCTGTGTGATGAAAACAAGGACTTTCCTGTAAGCTGCCTGTCAGTCTGGTGTTGAGTTATTTTGGAGCGGACAGCCCTTGGCTTAGTTACTGTGTCCATGGTGGATGTAGGTTTGAGCCCCAGAGCTCCTGTGCAAAAATTCAGGTTGTTCATGTCCCCTAATGTGGGTTGTACAAACTCAGGTACTCGACGCTGCCTTGGCATTTGTTCTTCCCATTGCACTTGTTCCTTATAACCTGGCACTCTTCCCTGGACATTGGTTAATGAAAATAATTTTCTAAATATGCCTGTTTTAGGGCAATCTTTTTTGCAGTCAGGAGAAATATCTTCCCTAATGCGATAGCTTTGCAATTTGCCATCTTCAGCTCCCATGCATGTGCTCGTTCTGCAAAAACTAGAAATACTGTCAGCGTGATGGGGAAGTGCCGCTGCTGGTTCAGGCTCTGGCAGATTTTCTGCCCAACACTCTCTGCGTAGAGACAGTGGCCTTCTTGTTGGAGACAGGCCAGGTGACTCTTGTGAAAACAGTGGTGTTGGCTCTCCTCTGCTCCCTCTCTTCACACATCCAGGTGATCTGCTGGGTGTTCTCTTTCTGCCTCTGAAGACAAACTTCTTGGCATTGGCCTCCTCAACTCCCATGTCTCTCTCAGCTACTTTTTTGTCTTGATATTGTATTATTGCTGGATATATGATGTCTGTTACTTCAGCCACACACTGTGTCATTATATTGATAATTTCATCAGTGATTTCGTTGGTCATGTTTTTCTGTAGCAGGAACAAATGAGAAAGGACATTAAATGTGTTAATTAATTCCTGCATTCTCCCTTCTGCACATGGCAACAGCTGCCTACTGGGTGCGACTCAACCTTTTAGGATAAACAAGAACAGCCCCCCCACGAAAAGTGACATGTATCACCAGAGCCTTTTGGATAGGGTGGGATATAA